TCTTTTCCATTGGCCACAGAAAGTGCCAGAACTGCTAACTCTCTTTTTTCTACCCAGTGGGCACCTGTGGCGAAACCACGGCGGTGGAGCAGCGTCGCCCAAGTCACGCTACCACAACCCGTTTATAGGGCGGTTCACATTCACACACAAAGGAGAAAGGACATAGAACACAGATAGAGAGAAAGAAACATCCATGCCTGCCTTGCCCGGGATTCGAACCCAGAACCTTTCTGATGCAAGGACAGTTCCCNTTAAGTACTTTTAATAACTAGAATTCAATCAAAAATCCTTTTTCTAAAAGGAAAATTCTTCATTAAAATTGTCTTCATTAAAGTCTTTTTTCTAAAAAAAGTTCCCTTTATCACTAATTGATTTAGGAAATAGTAATAACTCAAACTCAAAATTCAAGCATTGTAATATCATATTAAAAATTAAATTTTTTTTTATTTTATAGTAATAACCACTGAAAAGGTGATCCAGATACAAAACAGACTTATGGAATATATGCAAATTGAGCACATTAAAAAGTGATGACTCAAATTTGCAATTCAAAATTTTCAATATCTTTTATTTTTTTGAATTTTTTTTATTGTGTTCAGAAGATCTCACGAGTCACAGGTCGTCAATCCAATTTATGCTTAAAAAATCGCTAGGAGTAGAGAAAAGTCTCCCAAAAGTCTCCTTTTCCTGAAAATAGTTGCAAATAGCCACATTTTAGCCGCCTGTTGCAACCTTATAACAATACTTTCGTTTCATGGGAAGAAATTCATTTCAGCGTTCCTTCAAAGTAAAAAAAAACTAGACTTTTACAGGAAAATGTCAACAAAACAAGAGACTATATTTCTGCTATAGAATTTTATTATCTCTGGGCATGGCCCATACAAATTGTCACCACTATTGCTACTTTAAAACCCAAGATATGCAGAAAGGCATCAAAGAAAGTGTCATGGAATTTTCCAAAAGCGAACTGGAAAGGATTTTCTCTCCTTTCGGATGAAAAGCTTCAACGAAATTTCAATCTCTCTATCCATATTGATTGAAACTTTTAACAATGTGTCCACTATGCTGCCGAGAGAAATATTCCAAGAGGAAAGCTCAAGGTGGTATACAAGTGTGTTTGCACTGATGAACTAAGGGATATCAAAGCAAAATGTGATCGTCTTAGAAGAAAAGCTGAGTTTATGAGAAAAACGTTCGTGGTCACCTGTCGTAGACAGGCAAGTATCTTTAAAAGAAAAATCATTTGGAAAAAACGTAAGTCTCTTGAACATTTTATTAACAATCCCATGATCAGCCAAATGGCTGTGCAGGAGTGTTTTTCATTTGCAATGTCTTCATTTTTTATATCCCTGTGGGTATTAAGAGAACAGCCTATGTTGACAAAATTACTGTGATCTGTGTCGTTGTGGAACAATTGGTAAGCTTTCTAGACAAACTCAATTCTGTTGTCATTCTTTCCAACTCATTAGCAGCTCTTTACTCAGTAAAATCTATGCACAGTCCCTTTTCTGGTGATACATTAAAATGTCAAATCTCAATAAATTACAATAACTAGGAAAATCCGCCACTCTGCAAGGGATCATTTCTCACTGCGGAATTGAAGGCAATGATATGGCCAATGATTTAGTCAATAATAATCTGGCCCCCTTTTCAACTTTCAAACGAGTTCTCAAAAGAAAAGTCTTTACTAATTTTTAGAAGCAACTGATAGAAAGAAATTCTATCAAAAAGTGAACGGTTCTCGAGCGGAAACTAGTAGTTGGTGCACCGGAGTACCTGGCCAAAAAGGCCGCCTCCGTAAATGATATGATTACAAACTGAATCATGAGGCCGGGATAGCCATGTCCGAGAGTTCGTGGGTTCGAATCCAACCGGCCGAAGATTCCCCGTGTAGTAAATGGTGACTGATGCACGTTAAATCTGTCGAGTCGCAAAGTCCGCCATGTTCCTATAACAAATCAATACCTCTGGGGGTACTGTATTGGAGATCGAGCGTTCTCTGATTCAGGTCAAAATTACGATCTGTGGATGAATGAATGGATGTGTGAATGGGTCCGCCCTATGAAACGTGTGCGTTTCTGAAGAAGAATTTTTCGCCATAGGATGGCGCCTCTGAAAAACAAGAAACGCACACTCTGCCTTAAATTTGCCCAAACAGGCTTGCCCGTGTGGCAAGTGGCATTAGAAACAACAACGCAACTCACTGAATCAAAGGTCACTGATGTTAAAATTATTTGGCTTAGTAAATTTAATGTTTAGCATCCCAGACTGGCCGCGTCATGAGGCGTGGCTCAGTTCAGGCTCTTTAAAGACCATAAATTTCCTGTTTCTTACTTATACAGATTCAAGATGGCTTCTGATCGATATTGCTCTATATGTCGAGACCAATTTGCAATGGATGGAAGGCACGTTCTTCTTCGCAGTGCAGTGGTTTCCGTGGAGCAACTACTATTGCTGAGGAGCGACTCTGGAAAGTGAGGTGTCGAATGAGGAATGACTGTTTTTTAATTTTTATATCTTAGTTCTCTTGAGTTGTGTTATTTTTATTCTCTGTCAATCCCCTCTGCTTTAGAAATAAAACAAATATTTCATCATACGTACTTTTTATTAAAGAATTCAATAAACCTTTTTGGATATAAACGTTTACTTGGCGAAGTTTTAACGCAGAGTTCAAAATATACAAATATATGAAAAAAGATAAATAATATTTTGCATAAGACTCTGAAAAATCAAAAAACTCGATGCAACATAAAGCAGAAAAAAAAGTGCCAAACTTTCTTTTTTAAAGAAAATGTATAAAAATGTTAAATATATTTAGGCATTTATAAAAACAGTGGTCATTTTTGTGCTATGAGAGATAATTCCTTTATAAAATGACGAAAACATCACCAAAATTTAAATTTGTTGAATATGATATAATTTTTNAATTTTTGCATGCTCAGTATGCATAAGGAAAGAATCAAAGATGACTCAGAATTCATTGAAAAAGTTATGAATAGATTTGGACAGCAAACAAGACGATTACAATTCTTGTTTGATTAAACAATATTTTAATTGTTATGTTTCAACAATTACTTAAGTATTTGTTTTTGAATAAAAATATTTTCAATAAAATTTTTTTATAACAAAATTGTTTTTCTGTTTCTCTTTAATTGTTTGAAAAAAAAGCCAGGGGTGCAAGTGCACCCTCTTGCACCCCGCTGGCGGCGCCCTTGGTAATATTCCATATACCTAATTATTCACCCGTTGTGTAGTTAGGAGGCCATATCTACACAAGATTTAAATGTGGAATGTGCATCTTAAATTTTGAAGTTTAATCATTATATCATTCTAGGAGCAACAATCCAGTCTTCACTTTGAAACTTATAACTGTTCATGTTTTATTCAATAATAAAATAGATTTCATATACCATCTTTCCAAAGGAATGTTCTGAGCAATGCAGATTTCATATTGTAATATCAAAATTTTAAAAACCATATAAAAGAGGTAGCAACAGCTAACTCAACCACCGAAACACAACATGGATTTAGAATGGAATTCTTGTTTATCAAGAGTGCCTAAAGGTGACTACGTAACCCCTTCCCTGATTATCCCGAGTTAACTCGGGTATGTATATATTGCAAATATTTATTATCCCGAGAAAACTCGGGCGTAGCAGGATCGTTTTCTTTTATCACGTTTATACTCGTCCGGAAGGAAAAAAAAATGTAGTAATAATCTGATGTGATTGGAAGTTTGTTTTGGGAGTTTTTCTATTGGATTATGGGACTGCACCCGTGTTTTGTGCGATTGTGTATACGATGGTTGCTGAATTTGCAAAGAAAAAAAGTGTAAAAAAATTGCGTATCACTTCACTGGTGTTTGGAAAGTATCACTTCGTGTTGCCCCTTGTTTTATATAGCCAGTACTGAAAAATAATTTCTTTAAGAACGGGAAAAAAAAATACTTTGCTCTCAGACATTTCTGTTAATTCTTTCGTCCTCGAGTCACTTTTTGCTTCTGTCTTACATCTGTCTGCGGACATTTTCGAAAGACGGAGACTTGCACTCGCGATGTGGATTTATCAGCAAAAAAATGATAGAAAAAGACTTATCTATATATATATTTCTCCTACACGGCGACAAAAAAAAGCCTCATTACAACTCCCCGAATGGCAACGCTAGAAAATCGACCAATGATTGCCGCTAAAAATGTCACATGCCAAATCTAGTTGTGGTGGCTCAACATATAGCGCTTTTAAGAACGGAAACTGAGCTAACCAGAGTGTAAAATATTATGTGCTTATGCGCATCGTATTTTTTGTTAAATAATTTATTTATTATATATCAGTTTGTAGATGGTAACCAGAAGAGTTTTGTGGTTGCTATGGTGACTAATTAGAATGTTAATTGTTTTTTTGAGTGAGTGTGAGATTTATTTTATGGAACTGCGATGCTGTAATTTTATTGTTTAGTTAATAAATCTTCCTTTTATATTGAACGTGATAGTAGTTTCCTTAATTATTTGATTCGAAGTCCTTTGAGTTTTATTTGAGGTCAGTTTATTCTGTATTTTTTGCCAAAAGAGAGCATTCTCACCAAATGAGATTTCATCTGAAATTCAATGTTTTGTTTATGCAGGTTTTTCCATTGCAATTCACTTATTTCAATTTTTAATAGACTTAATTATAGCCAAAATTTTAACCTTTTTAAAAAGATATCAGTATTAGAAATTTTATCTTAAGATTTTATACTATAGCACATTTCTAATAGGTTTAACGAATTACATGTCATTATCAAATCGTATATANTTGGTATTTACTAAAAAGACGTAATTTTTTTTAAAAAAAAAAGTTGTTATATGGATTTGAATGATTGTTTTGAATTCTTAGAATTTTGTGCATTTGCAATGTACCTAAGTTAGTAGCGAGCGAAGCGAACTTGGTTTGCAAAGCAAACCATATAAGATTGCGTAGCAATTTTCGGAGGTTGGCGAGCGTTAGCGAGTTAACTACAGAGCTTAACTACCACTAGTTCTATATAAAACAGAGGGAAAAAATTGGATAACAAGAAAACAAATTGCTAACTCTTCTTCTAGCTGCACAATGCAGGGTTGCTGATACCAACAGTCCAGCTGTCTGGGAAGGAATACAAGGTTTTAGGACATCTTTAAGAACACCTAGAGTAAATTTGTTATCTTCTAGAATAGGCTCAAGGATCTCTCCAATGTACTCCCATATCATGGGGAAATCTAGTGCGAACTCATCTATCGACTCTAACACAACTTCGAACCTAAAAAATAAAAAAATTATGAAACAGGGCACTGTAATTAATAAGGAAAAAGAAATTAGAAGAAGATAATTGGCCTAGGACAGTTTAAAGTTGAACACACCTTCAAAAAGGGTTCACACAAAGAAAAGCAAAGGAGTCAAAGATTTTGAAGTCTTAACTGATAATATATGTTAAGTCTATTAATATACACTCTATAACAAAAAAATCAACGCTCCAAGAAGGAGTTGTTCGATTGAAACCAAAATTGGTGGATAGGAAGACAATGTACAGAATAGTTAATGATTAAAATTTTAGAACAATTGAATAATTTATTGCAGAGTTACAGTAACAAGTTCAATAAGGTGTTGACCCGCCTCTAGCCACACGGCGTGGCATACACTGATAAAGTCCAGGATGGTCTCTTGCGGTATTTCCTGCCAAATTCGATCCAATTGTCGAACGAGGTCATCAACATTCAGTGCCAGATGCAATCGCCTTCCCATAATATCCCAGACATGCTCGATGGGAGAGAGATCTGGTGATCTGGCAGGCCAAGGAAGAGTTTGACAAGCTTGCAGACAGTTCATAGCAACACGTGCCGTATGTGGTCTGGCATTGTCCTGCTGAAAAACCAGCCCA